ATTTTACTTCTGGATTTTTGACAGGAATAAAAAAAAACAGAGCTCTGATGATACAGAGTATTTACAGTTTATTTTTAAACATTCATTCTGCTGCTTTGTATATTTTTTTCCAAGGAGGAAAAGCTACAAAGTACAGCGGACAAAAAACATACTTGGGGTTGATGCAATTTCCCTGTGAAGGCAACTCAGATTTAGTGGAGGGTCAGCTTTTATTAGTCTGAATTTAGACTGAATTAGTCTTTTATTAGACAGAATTTTTTGAACTGCTCTGTATACTTTGATGTAAACATTGATTACTCATTAAAAACTTCAGAAAACAACATTAAAAATGCATTTACCTATATAGTTTGCAAGATCATGGAATTCAGGTTTGTTTGCAATTAGTTCTTCTTTTGTTGGAATATTTATTCCCATATAACAAGGAAATCGTATGGGAGGTGAAGCCACACGGATATGCACCTACAAAAGATAGGTTTTTCAATATTACTTGACACTAAAGACGTTGGTTCTTAACTAGAAATACAAAGGTCCTGCAAGGTGATCAGTAGGAACAGAGTTCTGTTCCTACTGAATCTTCACTGGTGTGAACTCTGCATGGGCATATGAGTGGTGGCAGATAATCATTTACTGGCACAACTGGATCCGATCCCTGATCCTCATAACTGTGCATCCTGCTGGCATGCCACATGTACATGCACACTTTTTAGATATCCCATATCTTCTAATAAGCCCAGGACCTTTAGAACCCATGTGTGCAGCCCCACATGCAGGTCTGTCGGGCATCTGGGTGTGCAGCTGCTGGGTTTGTAGCTTTCCAACTTGTAGAGAGAGCCAAGTGGGGCTAGCATATCTAGACATTTTCCGTGCAGCTCTGCACGGAATATATGTTCAAATCAAAGCAAGTCATAAAGGTGTTTCAGATTTAATGTGGAATAACTTTTTTGCTTGTTTACCATTTTATGGTGTGATGAATTGGGGGAATGTACGGTATGTTGTTAATGAACCAATACATATAACATCTGCCAGGGGCCTAAGGTTCTACTGGGCACATTAGATTCTAGGATGAAGGCTCTGGTTCCCTTCATTCTCCAAAATATCAGTTATCAAATATCAGTTTAATTAACAGAATTATTTTTAATGCAATATTGTAAAAACTGTATCATTATTAAAAGCCTTATTAGTCAACTCTCCTTTTCACTTTCTTTCTATGGTTCCAGCCCTACAGGCATTTAGGTAGTAGACAAACGTGTGCAGAGTTGTACAATGGGGTGTTGGCGGTGGGGGAGAAGTCAATGGAATTATTCATGGTAATAAAACCAGTATGTGTGTAAGTCTTGCAGTATTAGGGACTAAACTAATGCTCATCCACTGGCAGCTGTGGCTTTGCTTCTGTGATGGACCCACACTTGCTACATACCAGAATGCTTGTATATATCACAATGACAAAAAAAAAAACCAACCATGTTTTTCTTGAAGTTTAGGACCAGCTTATTTACTTCCATATTGTATTTGCTCAAAATGATAGCAAAGAATGAATCAAAGTAGCAGAAAGATTTTATGGCTTGTTTTGGATAGTTTGTTTTAAAAATTTCCATTTACTCTTGATTTGTCTGCAATGACTTGGATTAAAATACAGCTTAATCTCTCCCCACTCTTCTTGCATTGACCATTTTTAATGTAGATTTTCCTAAAATCAAAAAGCACAAAGGCAACTTCCCTTTATTACCTCCTTTTTTTGTATTTGCTACCTATCTCTACCCAGCATACTATAAATAGGCAAAAAAACAGTGAAACCAAAAAACATTCCAAAGTTCTCTTCCCACTAAACATTCTTTTACATATACATAACAGCTGATGAAACCAAGCTTACCTCTTTAGCACCAGATTCCCTGAGCAGTTTGATAATCGGTGAGATAGTATTGCCCCTCACAATAGAGTCATCGATGAGAACTACTCGTTTGCCTTTAAAGTTGTCAGACAGGACTCCAAATTTTTTTGCCACACCAAGCTGTCTCAACCTCATATTTGGCTGAATAAAAGTTCTTCCTACATATCGGTTTTTACAGAGTACTTCAATGTACGGCAGTCCACACTGCATGCAGAAGACAATTATATAAACAGCTAAGTAAAATACATACTTGAAAAACTCTTATTTCCAATATTACTTTTTAATGCGACTTGCAGATTAGGGTTCTGTATAACCCAGTGGTGTTATACTAATCAAAAGACCTTTAATTACACTAATGTAGTTGCACTAGTGCAAAGCCTCGTGTAGATAGGTCAAGCCATGACTTGTGCTGGTGCACTTGGATAGAAAACCTAGTCCAGACAAGACCTACGTAACACCAGGTGACAGGTGGAAACCCCATAAAGGTAGTTGTATTAGGAGAGAAGCCTATAGTGTTTCCATAGAAAGGCATGCTGGGAAGAGATATCACTATTAAAAATAATCCACCCTCAGTACCTTCTGTGCGAAACCCAGTGCTGCTGGTGTTGCAGATTCTGGAACAGTGCTAACCAAGTCTGCTTCCACTGGTGCTTCAATAGCAAGCTGCTGACCGCATCTTCTCCTAACCGAATAAACCATTTGACCTAGGAACAATGACAAAGGTCATTTATTCCTCTTAGTTTTTCGTTTTCACACCAGAGGAACTTCAACAGCAGATCATAAGCACAGCATTGAATCGGCAAGCTAGAGAACTCCCTATATAGCAATAACAATTCATCAATATCTCACCTTTTATTTCACCCTACATTGTTTGCATCATGGTCCAATTTTCAGATAGCACTGAGAACCAAATCGTTTTGCCTTACTTGGATAACTAGCCCCATTGATATCATTAGGTTCCTTTACTTGTGTAAAAAAGGACCTGAAATTTCATTATCCCCAACAACCTTGCTCTGCCAAGTGCCCTGCTAAGACACTAGTACAACATAAGGAGGCATGTCCTTTGAGGGCTGTTATCAAAATGATAATGAAAGGATTGGGTTGATATCCTCAAGTATTACACAGAAATGAGTTAAGTGAGAAACATGAATGCATTGGTTCTTATAACAAACAATGGAAAGATAAGCCTACATTGCAAAAATCTAATTTCAGAAATCTTGTTTTAAAATAAAGGCTCTAAAGTGACAAAACAGTATTTTTCATTAATCAGTTCATGGATTTTAAGGCCAGAAGCAATCTTTAGATCATCTAATCTGATCTCTTGTGCTGTAGTGTTACTCCTGTATTGAGCTCAATTACTGGTTGGCTAATGCAGATCTACCAGAAAGGCATTTTGGTCTCGACTGAATGACTTCATGGGATGCAGGATCCATCACTTCCCTGAGTAATTAGTTCCAATGGCTAATTATCTTCATTGTTAAATTAGAAATGAGCTGAAAATGTTATCTGGTATTACATCTAATAGAGGAAGGTTCTTGTAAAACCTCTCTCTATTAGATGTAAAAGACCTTTGGTACCATTATTTTCTCCCTATGTAATCCTGCAGAAATCCTAATAAAAACAGTCCTTGATCTTTGTTTTGATAAACTAAACAGATATGCTTCCTTAAGTCATTCTCTACAAGACATTTTTATGGCTCTTGGGTAATTTATACGGCTCTCCTGTGGACCCTCTCAAAAATCTTCAACTTACTTTTAAGAATGTTAACACCAGAACTGTTTACATCATATTCCAGCATTATCTCTTCAATGCCATGAGGCAATAAAAATCACCTCACTTCTCCTACATGTAGCTTGCTTCTTTATAAGTCCTAGAATCATATTAATCCTTTTTGGAACACCATAAAACTGTGGGAACTCGTATTTAATTGTTTGCCAAGTTTGAGCTCTAAAACCTTTCAGTCACTGCCTTCCAGGATAAAAGGTCTCCATTCTGTGGGTATGGCTCCTTTGTTCATTTGTACATTATATTTTCTTACCTTCAAAGATGCTGTCAGGCCTTGCAAAATAAACATATTCAAATATACAGAATGCTGAGGGATCTCCTTCTGGTCTTGGCACAACATCAAGTGTTTGGACATCATATCTGGATATTTTCACAATCTCTCCAGGTAGGACTTCACGATAATACCTGGAGGGGACAATTTACTGTTTATAAATTTCCATAATCTGAGTACTGTCTTTGCGATACAAATAAAACTGACTTGCTTAATAGATAATGAGTTTCTGATATTTAGCAGAAGCTGAATACTTTAAAAATGACTCTGACTCCTAAAACTGGAGTGTGCCAGAATTAAATACAAGATGAGCGCAGTAATTCTGAAAGCATGAACAGCTGAAAATGAATGGCCACTCCTGACACTGGATGGTTCAGGACAGCTTTCCATCAGATGAAATGCAATAACAGAAACTTAAATGAAACTAAGTTACTGAAATCATTCACAACCAAGCCCTGCTCAAAGTGAATAGTGTTATGTTTCTACTGCTCATTGATGGTGCTGCCAGACTCACTGTGTTCCATGTGCACCATATCCTAAACTGGAAGTAGCATAGCTGGCTTAGTGCAAAACTTACTGGTTCATCCACAGCTCTACACTAAGGCACGTATACTGCTGGTTTGGGAGGTAGCATGGGCAGTCCACATGAGCAACAACACACACCCTACACTCTTACTTTTGACTAGGCTAGTCACTTTTCTATAAGGCTGAGAAGTACTGTCATGCACTATAACAAAACGATTTGAAATGAAGTTTGTCAAAGAGTTGTCACAGCAGTCATTAAGTAGGATAATGGCAGCACCTAAGCAGATAAGGAACAGCCCTTTGGTGAGAGGCATCTGCAACTGAATACGAGTTGGAAGTCTACTGACAGATCTATATTCCAATTCTAAGTTATGTCTGTAATCCTTGCCCCTGGGTTGCAAAGGGTTAAGCAGAGAGGGGTGGGGCCAGTCCAAGCCCCAGAAAACCAGACCCAAGGAGCTGCAATGAACTGTAGCTCCCAGCCTGCTTTGGGAGCTAGCAGGAAGTTGCCACCAGCCAATAGAAGAGGGAGTGGGCAGGGCTATGAAAAGCCTGCAAAAATGAAAAACTGAGGACAATAGGTTGGCAGGTTGCTTTGAGGGTTAGCAGGAGAGGAAATGGGAAAGAGGAGCTGCAACGTGGGGGTCATTTTGCTCTGAGCATGCATGGTTGGAGCAGGGAGCAAATAGCAGTTCTTGTTTGAAGATATGCTTCAAGCACCACTGGAAGAGGCCCAGGGAGAATGTGAAGGAGCCTGGTCCAAGTGTAGCTGGGAGAAGGACTGACTTTGCCACAGAGGAGACCCTAGCAGAGAGGCACTGACTGATGCTATAAACTAGAGCAGGACCTAAGCAAGTAGCACTGAAAAGGCTGCAGAAGTTAGTGAGGTTAGTGTTACTGTGGAAGTTCTTGTGCCGGCTGGGACAGCTTGGATTGTGCACAAGGTGAAGATTCTCTACCCAAAGGGTCTTTCCGAGACTGAAGCTGGGTTTTCAAGTTGCACTGTTGAAAGGGGTAATTGTGCTATCAAGTTCCCATGCTGGGTTACAGCTTGCTGTTCAGGTGCGTGTCTTTGTAAATAAATCCGACTTGTTTGTACCCTCTTGTTAAACTGAGTTACTGTTGGAGACACTTATTCACCACTGCCATACACTTGCAGCCCCTCATGAGATGGGTTACATGTCTTTTTTGTTACACACACCGTTCACTTTCACATCTTAGAACATAGATTTCATAGATCCCATAGACATTAGGGCTGGAAGGGACCTTGCAAGATCATCAGGTCCAGCCCCCTGCCCAAAGGGCAGGAAGTCAGCTGGGTCGCATGACCCCAGCAAGGTAATCATCCAAACACTTCTTGAAGGTGTCCAGAGTAGGTGCTTGCACCACTTCTGGGGGAAGTCTATTCCAGACTCTGGAAACTCAGACGGTAAGGTTTTTTTCTTACGTTCCGTCTAAAATGGTCTTCCAGCAGTTTGTGACCATTGGACCTCATCTTCCTTTAGCATGCCCTGGTGAACAGACGCTTTCCCAGATCCTGATGCACACCCCTTATATACTTAGAGGCTGCCACCAAGTCCCCCCTGAGCCTATGCTTCTTCAAGCTGAACAGTCCCATGCCTCTCAGCCTCTCCTCATAAGGCCTGCTCTCTTGACCTCTAATCATGCACGTGGAGAAGCTTGAAAGAGTCCAGAGGAGAGCCATGTCCTTTTTAAAGTGTGGAGCCCAGAACTGGATGCAGTACTCCAGCTGCAGCCTCACCAAGGCCAAGTAAAATGGGAGGATGACATCTTGAGTCTTGTTTGAAATGCATTGGTAGATGCAAGCCAGGATTTTATTTGCTTTGCTGACTACGGCATCACATTGGTGGCTCATATTTATCTTGTGGTCAATCATGACCCTCCAAGTCTCTTTCAGTCATAGTGCTAGTGAGTGTAGCACTGCTGAGCCTATAGGTATGATGTGGGTTCTTTCTTCCGAGGTGGAGCACCTTGCATTTCTCTGTGTTGAATGTCATCAGGTTTTGATCCGCATACCTTGCAAGCCTGTCCAGGTTGGCCTGAATCCCCAGCCTATCCTCTAGTGTGACCCTGCTTACCCATAATTTGGTGTCATCTGTGAACTTAGCTGGTCTGCTTCTGACAACCAAATCCAGACTGTTTATGAATATATTAAAGAGTATTGGTCTGAGAACTGAACCCTGGGGGATGCCACTAATGACCATGTGCCATGTTGACTTGGTTCCATCAACAGTCACTGTCTGGGTCTGACCATGGAGCCAGTTCCCTAGCCATCGGGAAAGTAATCACATCTTAAAATTGGGGAGCTGTGGCCTCGACCGTAAGGTTGTCGAGGCCACAGCTCCCCAATTTTAAGATGTGATTGATGAATGTAAAACAGAAGGGTATAATTGCATATTCTCCAGTCAGATACTTAAAGGGCATTAGAACATGAGAGAAAACAGGTTTAATTTTAAAAAATTAAAAAAAACAAAATCAGAAAAGGCCCCCATTGGCAATTCTACATGATGAGTTTTTCTTAAGAAAAATCTCATAACACATCAGAGGTGGTTGATTATTCTTAGATCTATCTACTGCAAAACAGCTTTTTCAAGAAAACAAAGCAGATGCCAGCAGTTAATGATTGGTATGTAGATATAGCAGAAGTCACCAGAAATGAACACAGAACAACAAACTACAATGCAACACCACAAAATGTAATGGAAGGATCTTGAAGTTCAGAGACACATTGTTTGCTGTTTTTGCCTTGTCTTTATTTTTGTTTTGTGGTTATGGTCTTATTGCAATTCTGTCATGTTCTTTACTTAAAGGAAATACAATTTTACTTACTAATACTTGGTAGCAGACTTGTTAAATGTCTGAGTAGCATACTATGCATTCCTCACCATAAATTCAATAATGTTGATTTCACTGTAGTGTTCTGTTTTCATTGAAATTGAGTGGTTTGCACAGAGAAAATTTCTCCTGTTTCTTTTTGATCTCTGAACGGCTTATCTCCACTGCACTGTTAATGCAATTATAATTCAAGTGCTGCCTCTCTCTTGGGATCAGTCCACACATTAAAAAGACTAAACTCTACTGTCGTCATGCTTTTAACTTAAGCTGGATGGCCAATCAAAGGAATCTTGACTACAGTTCAAGTCAAGATAATTCACCAGTTGCCAATGCAAGCTTTCAACGTAGCTCAAGTGTTATTTTGCACGGTGGCCACCCTCTCTCAAGCCACACTAACTTGAGATTTGTCAGCTCCACTTACCTACACTTAACTTTGCAGACAAAAAACAAACCCATAAAGTCTTACCTGCAGTTGCCATTACTTTATTTAATTTAAATTCACCAGCTGACAGAAGTAATCTTTCTTAAAGTAATATGTTTAAAGAGGTAATAGATTAAGGGTGGACAATTATTTTGGCTGGAGGGCCACTTAATGAGTTTTGGTGAGCTGTCAAGGGCTGCCCACACAAAATCTTTCAGAAGGTATTTTAACAAGTTATAGATAAAAAAACCCCTAAATCATATGCTTAAAAATAAAAATCAAACATCTACTATAACATTTTAATTTCGTTAAAAAATTATGTGTCACAATATATTTTTTTGTGCAGGGAGGCTGCTTGTGCACTAGGTCTGGGGAGCTGGCCAGGGGTGGAGGGAAGGAGGGAGGAGGCAGGTGGTACGTGCAGCAGAGCTCACCCACATGGTGTGGTGAACGTGCGTTCTGCCACCCCTTAACTGTTGTGCAGCACTCCGCATGGGGCTGAGCCCTGTCTGCTCCCACCCATGCCCACGGGCCCTGGCTACTGTGCACAGCTTCCTGGCAGGACTGCAGCTGCCCAGGCACCACTCAGTTCCCTCCATCTTCAGCAGCTCCTCCTTCTCTTGCCCCTGCTGCACCACTCTGAGCATGGGAGGAGCTGCAGCTGGGTGGCTCCTGCCCCAGCACACAGGACTCCAGCTCCTGGCCACTTTCCACCCACTCCATTCACCTGGCACGATGAGCAGCCACTTGTGGGAAGCTGAGTGTGTGGAAGGTAGAAGATGGAGCTGGAGCTCCACGCAGTGGGGCAAGAGCCACCTTGCAGCTTCCCTTCCACCTGGGGCAGTACAGAAGGGCTAGGAGGAAGAGGAGGGCCTGATGGAGGTGATGGAGGGGGTGTGTGCTGAGCAGTACCTGAGTGACTGCAGCAGCAGTGTGAGCAGTCCTGCTGGGAGGCTGTGTGCTGGCCAAAGCCAACAGACATCGGCAGGGCTTGGCCCCACGCAGTGTGCCATGGGCCAAATCCAATCAATTGGTGGGTGGATGCCTGTGGGCGAGATCTGGACTGTATTTTGCCCACCCCTGTAATAGATAGTATTGAATGTAAAGGAACTTACTCTGCACCAATAGATAAAAAGCTACAGGATTCAGAGGAGACCACCCATCCTTCTGTTTCCCTGTTATCCTTCCCTGTAATAAAATTTACAGTTGCGGTTACATTATTTCCCCAATTCTTGGAACACTTACCATTAAGTGTTTTATGTATTTGCTGGAGTACTGGGTTGTTACATTTGCAATATTGCATTTAGCAAGGCAAAGAGTCATGATTCCTAACAAAAAAGCTTGGAATTCAAAAACTGTGGTAGTATATTACCTGGAAACATGAAATATGTTTTCTCAGACAGGCTAGAAGCCACAGATTCACTGTTCATGAGTAAGACAATTTATTACAATCCCCTCCTCCCCAATCCATGTCTTCAGTTCCAGCTTATTGTTTTTGGTCTGTATACCTGATTTTATTTAGGCTACAAATTTGTTAAT